AGGCAGGAGAATTGCTCGAACCCAGGAGGCGGAGGTTGCAGTGAGCCGAGATCGTGCCACTGCACTCCAGGCTGGGTGACAGAGCGAGATTACGTCTCAAAACAAACAAGCAAACAAACAAAAATATCAAGGGCATCAAAACAAGAAAGACAGGGAGACCGCCACAGTCCAGAGGAGTGTCAGGAGATGTGATAACTAAATGTCATCTGGGATCCTGGATGGGGTCGTGGGGCAGAAGGAAAAGGACAGTAGGCCAGCCTGGGCAACATGGCAAAACTCTGTCTCTACAAAAAATACAAAGATTAGCTGGACATGGTGGTGTCTGTAGTCCCAGCTACGCTGGAGGCTGAGGTGGGAGGACTGCTTCAGCCCGGGAGGTGGAGGCTGCAGTGAGGTATGATCGCACCACTGCACTCCAGCCTGGATGACAGAGTGAGACCCTGTCTCTTAAAAAAAAAAACAAAAAAAAAAACGAGAGAAAAGAAAAAAGCAAAAGAGGACATTAGGAAAAACTATGAAAATCTAAAAAAGCGTGGACTTTGGCAACTAATAACCAACATTGATCAATATTGTTATTGATCAGTGTTGGTTATCAATAACCAATAGTATCAATATTGATTCATCAATTGTGACAAATATAAAATATACACAGCTAATATAAGATGTTAATTATGGGAGAAAACAGGGGCCCAGTCTGCAGGAATTCTTGTACTAACTTTGCAACTTTTTCTTTTTTTTTATGAGACGGAAATGCTGGGATTATAGGCGTGAGCCACTGCACCTGGCCCCGGACCACTTCTTGAAGCCACAGCCCTTGCCGCCCGAGTTTGACCCAGGAGCTCTGGCTCTTTGGCTACCCTGGGAAATATTCCATTCCGGGCAGAACATTTTGCACGGAGCTGCCAGAGGTCCTAGCGGCAGGGCGTGCTGACTCAGGAAAGCCAGGCTCCAGCTTAATTCATCTCTGTAACTCAACATTCCTGGCTCAGCTGCAAGGCAAGCTGTTTTAGACAGGAAGGGCAGTGGAATGCGTGTTCCTTTCCTTTAAAAAAATGACTTATTGGCCG